AAACAAACAAATGAAAACGGTTTGACAAGACAGCAAGAATCAGACTCAGATATGACAGATGTTGGGAGTTTCACTTTGGGAATATGAAAACATTCTGAAGATGAATGGTAGTAATGGTTAAACAATAATGTGAATGTACTTAATGCCCCTTAAAAATGGTTAAAATAGTAAATTTTATGTTATGTATATTTCACCACAATTCAAAAAAAAAAATCAAAGAGGGAAAAAAAGAAATGAGATATCAAATCATAAAAAGACATGGAGAAACCTTAAATGCATATTGTTAAGTGAAAGAAGCCACTCTGGAATGGTTACACACTATATGATTCTAACTATATGACATTCTAGAAAAGGCAAAACTACAGAGACAGTAAAATTATCAGTGGTTTCCACGTTTCAAGAAGAAGGGAGAGAGATAAATAGGTGGAACAAAGTGGAATTTTAGGATAGTAAAATTATTCTGTATGATACTGTCAGATTTATGTCATTATACATTTGTCAAAACCCACAGAATGTACAGAGCAAACTCAAATATAAGCTATGAGCTTTAATTAATAAAAATGTATCAGTATTAGCTTACAAATTATAATAAATGTACCACACTAAAAAGGAAAATAGGGGAGGGAGGGGGGGTATATCGGAATTCTGAACTTTCTGCTCCATGTTTCTGTAAACATAAAATTGTTCTGAAGCCCTGACCTGAGTGGTGCACTGGGTTGAGCATCATCCTGCAAAGGAAAAGGTTGCTGTTTGATTCCAGGTCGGGGTACCTGCCTGGATTGCAGGTCTGAACTTGGCTGAGGTGCATGCAAGAGGCGATCTATTGATGTTTCTCTCAGATTTCTCTATTTCTCCCTCCCTTCCCTCTCACTAAAAATAAAATCTTTTTTAAAAAACTGCTCCAAAAAGAGTCTATTAATTTTTCTTAATAGGCACTATGACAGAACACCAACAGGGAAATATAAAGAAATATCCATATATTACTTAAACTATTCCAGGGCATAGAAAAACAAAATGGTTTCCAATACCTGGTATGCAAACAGCATAATACTGATGCCAAATTTGACAAAGACAGGTCAAGGAAACATTTTTTAAAAAAAACAAAACAAAACCATTATCATTTTTAAAACACTTCCAAATAAAATCCAGCAGTTCTTAAGAGAAAAAAAAACACACTATGATGAATAGTTTTTATTCTAGGAGCACATGAAAAGATTAAGAATAAAGTATGTGTTAATAGGTCAAAAAAGATTAGAACTGTGCAATGTAAATAAATTTGGAGATGCGTAACAGAAGGGGTTCAAGTCCTTTTTTTCTCTCCTTCTATGAAATTATAACCTGCTGATGGGAGGAGGATCTGAACATTGGGTGAGGGCTAGAGGATCACAGTGAAGATAGGAAAGCTAAGTGAGGAAACGAAAAAGATCTCTCAACACTGTTGATGACCCACCCAATTAAAAGTTGGAGACCATCCTGACCCATGGGGTTCAGTTGGTTGGGCCTCATCCTGCAAAGTAAAGGCTCATTCCAGGCAAGGCACATGCCTGGTTTGCCAGTTGGGTCTCGGTTTGGGGCATGTGCAAGAGACAGCAGGATCGACATCTCTCTCCTTCTCTTTAAATTAAAATCTTAAAGGAAAAAAAAAAAGAGTTGGAGACCTACCAATCCACAGAACTTAATTATTTTCCCTCTGATAGAGCTCAGAAACTTAGGTTTGAAATGATTCATGTTGAATGGCCTGCAGGACCAGTGTAAGACCAACACAGCAGCAAAGGCTCTAAATTACTCACTTCCCTGAACTCTTAAAAAGACTTGGCTGTAAGTCTGGTAACATTTCATTTTGAATTTCAACAGTTCCCTGCCTTAGCTCAGTTTCACTGCCAGGACTACAAACTTAATCACTACCTTATACATCATCACTACAACATCCTTGTTATGTAGTAAGAAAGACATGAGAGAGTGAATTAAATATTACAATTTTGTCATTTAACTGGAACTCAACTGGAAGAAGTTAACGTTTCCTATTATTTGGTCTCATCCTTTGAACACACTGCATTCAATACTATACAACAAACTCATCTTCAAAAAATTTTATACTTCAAAAATTTCTAGCAAGAAACATTGAAGTTTCTCCTTTAAACATTTTCCAACTTATTCTAGTAAGTTTTAATGTTATCAGTGAACTAAACAAAAAAAGCATCATAATACTCTTTATATTATTTTAAAACTACCTTTAATACAGCACACTATCTACACCTTCATATTCTCTGAGGTAAATAAGAGAATATCTGATTTTTCTTTAAAAAAAAAAAAACTCTGGGAAGAAGCACTCTGGGCTCAAAGAAGCAAGATTTATTAACTACATTTGGATAAATCACTGTTAAACAGGATCATTTTTTCATGTTTGATGTAAAAGTGTTAAAGTGATTTAACTGAAACATTCCCCCTTAGGCTGAAAGATATAAATTAAATTAAATTAAATTAAGTCTTAAAACAAAAAAGTTTGAAGAACTTGTCCACGGGGATGTCTTTAATTACGGTCTGTATGTGTGTAGACAACTCACAGCTTTAAATCTCCAGCTCAGACCTCTCCTCTGCTTTCCAAACCCAGACTACTAACCTTCACTCCCGTCCCATCCCGTCTCGTCCCATCCCATCAACCCTCATGGCCAGAACGCACACCATAAACCTGGCCATATCTCAATATGTGGCACAACCATTCATCCAGTAATCTAACACCTGGACACCTTCTGGCCCGATGTTCCACATCTAATTGATTATTACTGTAATAACAATGTAAAATTGGTGTATTACATGTGATGATTTTACCTCTTCAATGTCTCTTAAATCAGTCAATTTTCTATATCCACCAATTCCCTATTCCAAAATAGCGTCATCTTTTTTTCCTGGCAATACTGTATTCCCTCCTAATTAGCATCCCAGATCTATTATTGCTACCCCTCCCAACCCCACCCTGCCATTAAAGCTGTTTTCCACTCTGCTACAAAGTGATCTATCTAAAATACAAACATTATCATACAGCACCCTCCTTATTTAAAACATTTTCAATGACTTCCCAAAGCTCCAGGGATAAGCCTCCAAATCCTGCACACAGCACACAAGCCTCACCTGAAATCTGTGCTCAACCCACATTGTCCTTTGATTCCTTGAAAATACTCTGTCCAGTCTAACCACCAGTACCTTTCCACATGCCTTTCCCTCAACTAGAAGTTTCCTTCTCTTACCTTTCCTAGCTAACCTTATTCTGACACCAGATCTCAGCTCTATCATAACTTCCTAGGGAAACTTTCACCAGCTTCACTGACAAAGTCAAAAATCCTTACTGTATGCTTTCAAAACATCTTAACACATACAGTTTTATTTTTATTTGTGGCACCATCTATATTTTTATCTGCCCCTCTTTCTACACTGAACACGCAAAAAGCAGGCAAAAAAAAAAAAAGTTTGGGTTGGTGCTCTCCCTCCCAAGAGCACGCCCACGCATTCCTTCCCTCTCACTGGGCATCTCTTAAACTCTAAGGGTCCCCACAATTCTTGCAACCAAAGCAGCAATGGGCAGCAGTGTGGGGGGGGGGGGGGCTCCTGTCTCCAAGGGCCCCTTTTCAGTGAGTCAAAGCAGCCCCGCTTAGGCTCTCTTCTGTTGCTTCTATCCTAAATCCTTTCTTGTTTCACCGATCTCAGATTTAATAAACGTACTCTTAAAAAACAAGAAAAAAAAAGGCTGTCTCGGTTCACCAAGGCTCCTTTAAATCCGGCACAAATGCACAGATGGTGGTGAATGCTCAACAATACATGCTCGATGAATTAAAGACCCGTTGGAATATATACCAGGCAAAACAACTATTAATATTCTTTAATGATCAACAGTCTATAGCATCACTGACCAGCAGAACTTTTTGTAATGAAACAATTCTGTATCTGTATTGTCCAATTCGGCAGCTACTAGTCAAGTGTGGCTACTGAGCACCTGGAAAGTCATTAGTACAACAGAGACACTGAATTTTGAAATTTATTTACTTAACTAAATAAGATGTAAAGAGTCACAAGTGGCTAGTGACTACTGGATTGAACAGCACAGGTCTATATAGTTTTTTCTGTCTTTTCAATTGCACTTTTGTTGTTTCACTCTTCACAGTTGGTATGTTGTCTATGGACAGCCCTAGACAATAAACCCTAGCCTTCTTTTTGTCCCCGCAATGAACGCTGCACAGAACAGAAACTTAATAAATGATGACTTGCTATCTGAATTGCTTTTTTCTCGCTGAAAAGCAATTAATTAGATGCAATTATTTTCAAAATGATCTTCAGGAGCCAAGCACAAAAACAGCTCTTTCTCTGCTGTGTATTACCTGGATCTTTATAGTTTTCCCGACTAGAGCTGCGGCAAGCCTCGAGCATTTCTAAGCTCCTCCTACCGGCTGGGGACCCATTTATTGCTACAAAAAAGGTCCAAAGAAGCACCATTCGCCAGGAGCCTCTAGAGACTAACTACTCCACCTCTGTGTACAGAACTCACACTACTCCCGCTGGGCAGTCCTGCTCTCAGGCAAATTAATCTCCTAATTGTCTTCCCAACAAGACAGTCCCTTGGGTAACCACCCTCACCACTCCGACACCGCCCTTTTCGCCTCCCTGGAAACGCGATAGGACCCAACTCCTCCCAAAAGCTTTCCTTAACTACACAAGCTGGTGGTAATACTGGCTCCTCTGAACATCTGGTGTAATTCAAAAGGCCCGGGACACACCAAAGGGGAGAAACGAGCGGCTTTTGCCAGAAAGACCGGGAGGTTGTAGTCGCCGGAACCTGACTAAGAGTCGAGAATGTCCCTACAAGCCTTTTAAAAGCGCGCTTATTCTATGTCAAAACGGTGACAGGCAGCAAGCAGGAGGCAGCGCAGCCAGAATGCCAGCGGAGCGCCCAGGGATTACCCGTCACCCCGCCCCTCCGGCAGCCCACACCCCCTCCCGGCCAGGCCCACCTTCTCCGGGCCGGTGCTCACGCTCTCGCTCTCGGAGTAGCGGTGCTTGGGCAGCGACGGCGAAGGCAAGGTCCCGCCGGGGTGCGCCTGCAGCCAGGCCTTGGCCTCCTCATCGTCCTCGTCGTCCGTACTTTCCCGAGGCTGGTTCTCGTAGTTAAAGTCCGCGTCCAGTTCCCGCCTTTCCTCTTCCTCCACGTCCTCCACCATTACCACCTCAGCCTCATCCAAGTTCTCCGGCTTCCCCACCTCTTTCTTTTCCTCCTCCTCCTCTACCACCTCCTCCTCCTCCTCCTCCTCCTCCTCCTCCTCGAGCTCGCCGGGCCAAGGCAAGTCCTCAGGCTCCATATTGGAGTCACGCTCTAGGTCTCAGAGGTTGAGGAGGAGGAGAGGAAGGGGGGAGGGAGGGGAGGGGAAGAGAGCTGACTGGCGGTTGCGGCCTCACGCAGGCGCAAAGGCCGCCACCGCCTTGCCCCCCGCGCCGCGCCGCGCGGACGGGGCGGGGCAAAGAGAGAGCGCGCGCGTTGCTAAGGACGCCCCGCCGGGGCGGGCGGGAAGGTCTGAGAAGGGAGCCGGGCTGGGGACTGGTGACGCCACCGCCTCGTCCCCGTCACCGGCTGGTATCTTGCTCACAGTACTGTAAGCTCACAATAAACCCGAACTGGGCTCCTCTCGCGGGATGGGAGAACTTAGTCCTCGACTGGGTAGGGCTAAAACTGGATTTTGCCTGTGCACCGAGGGGACAGCATACCCTAGGACAAAATTATGACGAGCTTGCAAATGATAAATTTTTTAAAGGTTGAGTGCCTAACGTGTGGACAGGCTGTAAGATGGGCACTTGAACCTTAGGGTAGTAGAGAGTTTAAGTAAGGAACAGGTGCTGGTATCAGAGAAATGGGAGTTTGAATCCTGACGTCACCACTTACAAGTGGTGTGACTGAGCCTCTATCAAATGAGGATAATGGCCCGTTGAATAGGATGGTTGTGATAATCAAAGGAATTAACCAATGTGAAGAACTTAGTGGTAGCTATAATTTGTTGACTATTAGGCGGTAACTCATTAAATGCTTGCAGTTCTGTGAGACTTGTTATTATCATTTTATATTTGAAGAATCTAAGGCTCAGAAAATAACTTGCCCAAAGCCTCTTACCTAGAAGGTGGCTGGCTGAGTCAGTGCCATCCCAGGTCTTCTGTAAGTCCAGCAATTGCCCTGACCCAGACCTATCTGCTAATAAAGGGGAAAAGGGCAAATATTCTGATAGTATATATGTTTTGGGGTTAGTCAATGACTTTGAAATGCTTTAGAAATAAATATTTCCTGATCACTACAGGAATCCCTATAAAACAAATGGCAAATTAAAGAATGTTTAGAAGCTTTGCTATTACTAAGGATATGGTCGTAAATAAAGTGGAATCAGCAAATATTCTTCATGGTATTACCCACAATAACAAACATAATTTGGCAATGATACTGAACCAACAATGATGGAGTAATTTTAGGGGTACTGGCAAAAATGTATGTCCTATCTGCCAATGACTCAATCCTGGCAAAACTATAGAAGTAGAACATGGACTGGAGCCCAAGGTCTCAGGGCTCTTTTGAATACCTCTCAGTGGACTATGAGTACAGTTGATCCTTGAATAACATGTGTTTGAACTGTGCAGGTCCACTTACATGCTAATTTTTTTCATTAAATATTGTAAATATATTTTCCTTAAAATTTTCTTAACAGTTTCTTTTCTGTAGCTTACTTTAGTGTAAGTATACTGCATATGTTATAATACATATAACATACAAAATATATGTTAATCCTGTTTATATTATTGGTCAATAAGGCTTTTGGTCAACAGTAGGTTGTATTAGTAGTTAAGTTTTGGGGAACTCAGAAGTTATACACAGATTTTCAACTGTGCAGGGGGGAGGTAGGGGTTTCTGCTCTTTGCCATATGGTTGAACTTCAAAAACCTAATTAAGATTTCCTTATTCTAAAAAAAGGCAGCTTTTTGCTCTCTTTACCACATGTCTAATGTGCCACAGACGTGAGAGGCTACTCAGTCTGGACCTGCACACTCACGGGGCAGAGAAAATTAACTGAAAGGAAGGAAAGACATTAAAGCTAGAAAACAAAACCAAAAGAGAACTGATGAAATCAGGGAGGATGACGGCGATTCAGGGGAAGGGCTTACCTTCAGGCAGGGTCGGTATGGGGGTTTCCCACAGAGCAGAGGAAAGACAGGTGCCGAAAAAGATCCTGTTACTCAGGCAAGTGAGTTAACAAGTTGATTGAATTCATTTCCTGGTTTTTATTCATGTTAATCAAAGTGTGGTCCATACACCACCTTCATCAGAATTACTTGAAATATATGTTTTACAAAGAATCCCACTCTCGTTGCCCAGAGAATAAGATTTATGAAGTCTGAGTTGACACCCAGGAACTGATGTTTAATGCCATGCCACCTTCAAGTAATGCTGATGCATACTAATGGTTGAGAACCACTGCTTTCTTTGTCAAATATCAAGGACAATACATTTCTTCCTTACCTACTATAGAAAATCATCCCTTTCCCTGCCACCTAGCAGCCAGAGCATGTAATCTAGATTCACACGTTTGGATGCTGCCATCTGTGAGTTTGACACTTAGAAGGTAAAGCAGGAAAAGTTCAGAACTTTGCTACTCAAAGCATATTCTGGGTGCCAGTAGCATCACCCCAGAGCCTGTTAGAAATGCAGACTCTTAGGCTCCACTCAGACCTACTTAATATGCATTTTACCAAGATCCCCAAGTGACTCAGGCACACTGAAGTTTGAAAAGTACTGGCTTAGAACCCACTTGCAGTAATGGAGTTTAGAGTTCAGCAGTAGGAACGGCCAATGGAACAAGCAGAAATATCCTCATCAACTGGTTCTTACGGCATGACCTTAGTCATGGGTCCTGCTCCCCAGCTTTCCTTGGTTTATGCCTTTCTTGATCAGCTGTTCACAATTAATACATTGTAACAAGCAATCACAAAATCTCAGTGACCTATTTTTAAACAAGTACTATTCCTTGCTTTTGCACCAGCTCGTTGTCTCAGGTATCTGTTTCAGGCTAAAGAGTATGAGTTGGCTGGGGAGACTTGACTCTGCTCTTTCATTACTCTGGGGCCAGCAGGTTACCCAAAGAATGCTCCTTCCATATACAGAGGTGGGAAGCTCCAGAGAAGAGTGGAAACACAAATGCACTTCTTCCCACAATTCATTGGCCAAAGCAAATTACATGGGCCACTTAGCCATAAAAAAAGAAAGAAATTTTACCATTTGCATGGATTTCTAGAGGGTATATGCTAAGTGAAATAAGTCAGTCAGAGAAAGACAAATGCCATATGATTTCACTTATATGTAGAATCTCAAGGACAAAATAAATGAACAAACAACACTGAAACAGACTCATAGATATAGGAAGTGTGGAATAGTTGCCAGAGGGAAGGGGGGTTGGGGAGACTAGGTGAAAAAGGTAAAGGGATTAAGAGGTACAAATTGGTAGTTACAAATTAGTAACAGGGATATAAAATACAACATCGAGAATACAGTCAATAATATTGTAATAACTGTGTTTGGTGGTAGATGGGTACTAGAAATACCAGGGTGAACACTTTGTAAAATATATGACTGTCTAATCACTATGTTGTACACCTGAAACTACCATAATACAAAATAATATTGAATGTAAACTATAATTGAAAACAAAAAAGTTAAAAAAAGAAGACATGATTTAATCCTTTTCTGATTGAGAAGGTTAAAAAGAAAAATTCATACGAGCCAATCCAACATCGTATTTCTCCCATGGAGTTTAATAGAGGAGAGGGAATAAATTTGCTGAATGATAAGGCCAACATAATATACCAGCCCTTTTCCAAGCCTGGTTTCCAGCTTTCCTGCTGGTTCTAGAAGCCCTATAATATCCCTCTAGTATGATGTTATTGAAGCTAGCCAGAGTCAGCTTCTGTTGACTAAAACCCCAAACCCTCACTGATCCACAGGAGGAAGTCTAAGCCAGAAGGGAGGAAAGGCATATTCCTGGGATGCAGCTGCCAGACTCAGAGAAAACACACTCAGAGACTAAATGCACAAAATAGTTAGATGGCATAAATGGGTGAATAGAGAAACAGGAGGTTTTGACTACAGACCAAAATATTGAAGTTTAAAGGTCCCACGTGTCGCTTATAAGAGTGAGTTCCTAAAACAGGTTTCCCCATGTGGTTATCAAAAACCCCTAGGATGAAGGGAGCATTTGAGATCTTGTTCCCCTGCATACGTCATCAGTTTGGCTCAAATAAACTCATAAAAACTGGGGGGAAACTAGGATGGAGACAGGAGCCGAATTAGCGAGAAGGTGGGTCAGATGCCACTTTCTCCCTGCCCACCATGCAGGTAAGTAGCAGGAGCGCCATATGGACTTCAAAGGGACAGGAGGGAAGGAAAGACTAAGGGTTTTTTTTTAGTGTAAGACAGCACGATGGGTACTTTACAATACTTGCCTCCTCTCATCTTCACAACAATTTGGCAAAGCATTTTACAGATGCAGAAACCCATGCCCAGATAAGTTAAATAATTTGTCCAATATAACCCAGCCAATAGGAAGGGGTGCAACAGGGCTTCACACCTCTCTGTCTGGAAATACAGTCTATGCTACTTCCCACCAAACCACACAGTGTAGAAGCTTCCAGCAGGACAGTAGGAGCAGGCACGGCCCAAGTCCTAGCCCTGTTCTAAATGGAACATGAAAAACTGTCAACCTCCATGCTGCAAGGATAGCTGTGTCCTCAGGAGCAAACTGGGTGTCAGTTAAGGGTGCGATGAGGTAAGAGGTATGAGGGCAGGGAAGGTGGTCTACAGCTGTAGACAGGCTTGGAGGAAGGAGGTCAGCAGTGGAGGACAAGCCAAAGAAGACTTGCAAAAATATGTCAATGAAAGCCCTGCAGTGAGAGGAAATGGAAAGAGCTTGCTTTTTTTTTTTTTTTTTTTTTTTTTGATGTGGCTGAAAATGAAGAAACTTAGAGGTATGGAATGAGTTTCCATCATAGACCATTCTCTACAGGGGAACAACAATGTCAGTTAAACCATTAATTTGAGTATATTGTATATCTGTTCAAAACCCTGCAAGGGCTTTCAGCTTCACTCAGAATGAAATCCAAAGTCCTAACCCAAGTCTATAGGAGCCTACATGTGGTCTGGCTCCTACCCAATGCCTCCAGTTCTAAACTCCTGCCCATCGCTCAAGCCACCCAGACCGCCTCACGGTTCCACAAGACACAAAGCCTCCCCCACAGCAGGGCCCTTTGCACGTGCTGCTGCCTGGAGCATATT